TACGAAATCTGCTTCCCATCTCTAATCTTGCGGCTTTCTATTCTTTTCGCCAGCTGAATTGGAGACAGAAACAATTCCGTATTGTTATTTTACGACAAGGTTGAGGCTTTGAAGTCATTGCTCGTAGGCTCTACAAGGCATTTTTTATGATTTTTAGGGGGAATGCTTTTGCTCTGCATTTATCATTAATCGTCACTTTTTGTATTGCTACCACAACTATTAGGACAACTATTTATCCATCTTTTTCAAATGCTCACTTGCTATTCGAAAGAGGACATACCTAATGCTCAGTTCCTCCTAATTTTTTGAAGCTACGGATTTGATAATGGCATAAGATTGTTATTTCCACATATATGTTCGAAGAGGCGTCACTGGGGTTTCGTTGGTTTGATATTTGTTGAGATGATCCCTATCATTCGGATTACTTATCGCGCATTCGTAATCAGCAATTTCGAATTACTCTATTCTCTCTCACTTTCTTTTACCTCCCTTGATATACTGTTTTAAAGCGCCGTGTCACTCTACGAAACAACATTCATTGCTCCCCAAGCTCTGGTAGTAAGTTAAAAAAATACTTTCATAAATCCAGTTTATCCAGATGCGACGACCATTACTCGGCTACATGTTCCGCATTATTTTGGCGAAATTAAGACCGTCTGGCTTACGTCATCTACTATGGCAACAGCGCAAAATTCGGCTAGTAATTGCAACCTTCGACAGTCAAGGGCATGTCTGAATCTATTACATGTTGTCATTCACCAAGCACTTAAAGATTTCAACAGTATTTTAAGAACTGCTGTCGTTCATCCCTTTACTTGCTTCTCCAAAGGTCTTATTGAAGATCAAATTATCGAGATTAGCGTCATCTTTCAAAACTGGCAGGTAATTTGCTTTTTATGAGGTCTCTAATCAAACTGAGCTATTCTGTAAGCAAGCCCAAAATGTATAACCTTGATGTAAAACGTTTAATGCCTGTTTTTTCTATTGCAAATAACCAACAAAAGAATCCCTCCTTTGCTTCCTTAGTAATTTCGGTTTTCGGTTTATTATGGTTTGATCCTAATAAAGGAAAAATCGCAGAATGTGACCAAACAGAAATTACGACTGATGCGACTGTCGTTGTCCACATCTATTCCTCCTGGTATTGTTGAAATTGGACGAAATGATGCTTACAACATGTTTGGAGGAGAGCCTGGCAGTGACTTCGTCGTTGATGTGAGACATAGCGCTGCTGCATCTGCATATAGTTAGATTATCACATGTTGCAGAGCATCAGAGCTTACAAAGCCTTTCCGAAGTCTGAAAGGACTCTGGCCTC